CTTTTCAGGAAATCGCTTCCTTGCTGTTGGCTTCGAGATAGACGTATTCTTTTTCAGGAAAGTTTTGCAGAATGTAGATAGATAGGTGGATTGGTTTGATCAATGCAAACCTATTTCCGAAAAGAAATAGATTGCTTGATTAATTAATTAATTAATTAATTGGCTGACGAGCGATCGATTCCCCGCGAGTGCAGGGCGGGAAAAAAAACGCATCACTGAATCTGTTGAGAGAACGAATCGCTGAAGCGGTCGTTGATTGCATTTTCCAGTGAAATAGGGACAGATACATGATTATTGCGCTGTTTGCTCAGGGATTTTTTGGCCCCTTCCTTTTTTTCTTTTTTTTTCCATATATATGTTCTGTCTCCTTCCCCCTCTGCTCGCTGAACGATTTTTCTTTTGCGCTCTTTTTCTAATGCCAGCTTCTTACTCTCTTGCCTTTCACTTTGTGAGCTTCTCGTCTTTGTGCTCTCCCATTTTTCTCCCCTGATTCTCTCCTCCCTTCTCCCATTTCCCTATCTTCCTTCTTCCGTATCTTCCTCCTCCTCCTCCTCCTCCTCCCTTCCGCCTGTTCCTCCCTTTTTATGTCTCGTCCCCTGTGCCCTTTGTTGTTTTCCTCCTCCATTCTCTCCTCTTTCATTTCTCTTCCTCCCTTCACACTCTCTTCTCCTCCTCTCTCTCTCCCTTCTTCTCCTAGCCCTGTTCTCGTCTCTGCCCCCCCCCCTTTTCCGCTTTCCTACTCTTTGTTCCTTCTTGCTCTCCTACAGGATTTGAACCTATGACCTTCAGCGTAGAAGGCTGTTGCTCTACCCTCCGGCTGAGCTAAGCACTCCCTCCTCTGTCCTCCTCCCTTTAGGTCGTCTCTTTTCCTTCTCCCTTTGTCCTCCTGTCTTCGTTGTCGCCCTTTTCCGTCCGTCCTCCTCATTTCCCTTCTTCCTCTTCTCTCTCTGGCAGTCGCTCTTGTCCTGATGTCTTTTCCTTCTCTATTGTCCTCCTCCCTTTTCTCCCATCTCTACTTTCTATCGTCTCTCCTCCCTTCTCTTCTTGCCCCCTCCCTACCGCCTCTAGTTTCTCCTCCTCTTTTTTCTTCTCATCACCTAGGCCTGTCTTCCTCCTTAACCTACTCCCTCCTCCTCCTCCTCCTCGCTCTCCCTTTGCGCCCCTCTTCATCCCCCAACTCTTCACCCCCTCCTTCGCCCTCTACCTGTTTCGTCCTCTGAACTGTGCCCCCTCCCCCCCTCCCTCCCCTCCCCCTCCGTCTGGTCCTTCCCGAGTGCCCTTCGTCTCCTATGCCTTATACATATATAGATATATTTGTATATATATATATATCGTCTATATATCGTCTATATATCGTCAAACAGAACTGCCCGGTAAACCGTAGGCAGAGAGGGAGAAGAGGAGAACATACGAGGGGCTGTGACAAACTGTTTCGTCGGAGTTTCACCGGCTCATCAGGAGGCTGAACCCTATATATAGCGGTCCGTCTTGGCCGTGGAATTCCTCACCTATGCCATCTACAGTATCAATGTATTGCAGCCGGCGCCGTCTGTGCCGAAGGGTGTCCAACATTTCCTCATTGTACACATCCCTATCACCCAGATATTCGTTGTCCCTTTTGTGCTCAAGGACGCTATCAGGACTGCATGATGCCGCACTGTGATGAACGTCCTGATGTTTTTTGACATGTGGACAGCATGTCCTTTGTCAGGACTGTTTCGATGGGATGGTCCGTGCTAGCCGTCCTGCTGAATGCTGTGCTGGCGCAGCTCTCCTTGGGTATCCTTGTGAACATCCACGTCATCCTCAGCGTGCCTGTCCTATCTGCCAGGGTGGGGTGGGGGCTCCTCTTCCTGACTGGTCAATAGAATCAAGCGATCAGGAGAAACACTAATTGTAGGACAAAGAAAAGAAAAAAAGAAAAAAAGAAAAAAAGAAAAAAAGAAAAAAAGTTCAAATTTCTGGAGAAAAGAAAAAAGAAAACAAGAAAAAAAAAGAAAGATGTTGAACTTTGTTGTGACAGTGGCAATTGGGTTATCTGTGCGATGTGTCATTTGCTTTCTTCCTTTGTCTTTTCTTTGACCTTTCTCTTTCTCTTGCCTCTGTGAGGTCTGGTTTCCTCCTCCTTTTCTTTACCTCTTTTTGGCCTTTTGGCTGCGTGCAAGTGGGTCCTTGTGACACACGGGGATGGGGGCAGCCAGCGCTCAACCTGTCATCCACGTGGCTGGCCTTGTACGTAAGAGGTGATGAACAGGTGGGGCTTTCCTTCCTTTTCCTTTCCTTGTTTTGCTTTTTTTCGCCTTCACGCTCTGATTCACAGTGTGACAATATATATATTGTCACATAGATATCAGAACGCAAATGCGAAAAAAAGAAAAACAGGAAAAAATGAATTCAGTTTTTTATCTTCTTCCTTATAACTCCCCCTTTTCAGAACCTCTTGCGTACAAGGCCGCCCACGTGGATGTAGGTTGAGCGGCGGCTGCCCCCACCCCCGTGTGTCATATCGACCCACTTGCACACAGCCAAAAGGCTAAGAGGCAAAGAAAAGAGGAAGGGAACAACCAAACATTACAAAACAGGGGGCAAACGAATCCTAGATGACAAGTCCCACATGCAGACACCGCCCCCGACAGCACAGGCCAAACGACGGGACAAACCAGCCAGGATTCAAGACACGGGAACTGTGAGATGGTTGAACGATGAGCCAGACCATTTTCAACATAAATGAATACCAGAAAACAAATTCTACCATAGCAAAACAAATCCTAAATGACAATCCTAGATGACAAGTCCCACATGCAAACACCGCCCCCGGCAACTACAGGCCTAACAACGGGACAAGACCAGCCAGGATGTCATACCAAAAAAAAGGAAGGACCCGGATGACCAGTCCCACATGAAAGCACCGCTACCAGGATCAACCAGGCAACATCCCAAATAGCTGAACAACGGGACAAAACCAACCGGGACGCAGACAAGGCAAAAAAAGCTACGATCAACTTCAATCAGTCCGGTTGCTTATTACCGGCAAGCATAGAAGTCTTATTACCCGGCCAGCATATTTTGTTCTGGGGGGTCTCAGTCCGGTTGCTTAGTACCAGCAAGCATAGAAGTCTTGACTGGAGGTGGCGAGTAAAGACTGGGAGGTGCTTGCTGACGATGATTGGTGTCGAAGGTTTTTGCTGAGTGTGACGCCTGTCAAGTCTCCCCGGAGTCCTTTTTGGCGGCAGCGGTGCCAATTCTCTGCCTCGAGAGAATTCTGTAGGACCTGGTATGGAATGCTTGTTCTCACCTTCTAGAGGGTTAGAATTCTAACCCTCTAGAAGGTGAAAACAAACCCTCTAGAATGTTTGTTTTCCTTGCTTTCTTTTCTTCCCTCCCCCACCGCTCGTTTCCCAACCTCCTCGCCAAGCCCTCAAGCAGTGTTTTGAGAAAATGTTATACCCCTGCAAGTCAGCAAAAAATGGTACACACAGTGTCACACACACATTTGTACTTGTGGTGAAACTGTGAATCGGATATAGGTCGAGTGTTCAAACCCGGCCTGCTTCCCCCTCTTCTTCACTCTTTTTTTTTGAAGTAGTCTCCAGCCATTGGATGATCTGCCGACTTAGCTGCAGTCCCAGTCATCCTCTGCGGTCAGATCTATTTTTAGACAGACGGACAGATGCATTGAACCACAGTGTTCGTCACCTGAAGCACATGCACATTGAGAGTCACACGAAATCCACACTGGAGTCCAGAGATGCGAAGTCCAAAGTAGCGCAGCTTAGGAATTCCAACGAATAAAAAATAAATAAAAAATAAAAAAATCCAACGAATTATAATGTTAAACAGTTTCCGAGTTCCAGTCACCAGAGCTCATCAGCGCACACTTCAGCAACCCAATTCCAGCATCCTCATCCAGGTAGGTGACTCTCTCTCTCTCTCTCTCTCTCTCTCTCTCTCTCTCTCTCTCTCTCTCTCTCTCTCTCTCTCTCT